AACACTGCATCTCATGTTTGATAATATTACATCATTAATTTTCTTCTGTGCGCAAGTGATTTCATAATACAGTGGTGTCTAACTCACAGAATCACGGGCGAGCCACCTAGTGTTTCTATTGCTTTAAAAATTTCATTTAGGAGTTTAGAACACCATGGCATTACAATAACACTCGCTTACCCAAGCTAAAACATATTAACTTCTAAATTTCCTCTTGGTGTGCAAGTGATCTCATATAATGCCGTGGTGTCTGATTCACAGAATCACGGGCGTGCCACCTAGTGTTTCTGTTGCTTTAAAAATTGCACTTTTCGTTTCACAGTTTAGATCACCATGGCATAACAATAACACTCGCTTACTCAAGCCAAAACATATGAGACATATTAACCATTAATTTTCCTCTGTGCGCAAGTGATTTGATAATACAGTAGTGTCTAACTCACAGAATCACGGGCGTGCCACAAAGTGTTTCTGTTGCTTTAAAAATCACACTTAGGAGTTTAGCACACCATGGCATTACAATAACACTCGCCTGCTCAAGCTAAAACATATTAACCTTTATATTTCCACTTGGTGCGCAAGTAATTTCATAATGCCGTGGTGTCTGATTCACAGAATCACGGGCGTGCCCCCTAGTGTTTCTGTTGATTTAATTTAAAAGTTGCACTTAGGAGTTTAGACCACCATGGCATTACATTAACACTCGCTTACTCGAGCTAAAACATAACAGACATATTAACCATTAATTTTTTTCTGTGCACAAGTGATTTCATTTTCCTGCAATACATAGCTTTTTCTTGACTGGATAACGAGTTAAATAGCGCAGAGGCGAGATTTGGTAATTTTTGGCGGGCTTTGGACACCTTTTGGCGATATGACGATTTCACTATTCGACCGAATCCATTTGATCGCTTGGTCTTTGTGTTTTCTGCCTCTACTATAACATCTTTAGGAATTTAGGCCGAGTTACTGCTAACAATAGTATTTCCGCAAACCCGTCATTAAAGAACGGATTTTTTTTTTATGTAGCCCGTTTGCACACGCTTTACAGCATTGACAGCAGATCATGCATAATAGTCACCAAACAAATGCAGTCGGATTAGAAGATCTAACGCTTTCAACATCAAAATGCGTACCAGACTGTACTGCCGATGAATATTACCACATAAACATTTATCGTAATATAGTTAGGTTCAGAGGCATTTTCAAGGCATGGGAAGACCGTGTTATTCTCTTAATGTCATCTAAACTTACCCAGACGCAAACACCGTCGTTTACGATCATTCCAAGAATGCAATGCTGGCTTTATTCGATCAGAGTTCAAATCGTAATGTCACACTTCTTCCATATAAAGAAACAGTCAATTATTATTTCCATGGTTTTGGTTAAATTTTTAACTATAGTGTATTGAATGTACAAGACTCCATCAGAGAGAGGCCATAAAAGTACAAGCACAACGCACCAGCGCGTGCGTGAACGGCGATTCACTGCGAAAACTGGAGTTTAGCAAGCTCAGGCCAAAAAATTGGTTGAATCTGCACACACAAAGCCTCGGAGATCAATGATTGCAATTTCCTTTAGTATCTATCTTTCCCTTACGATGAGCAGTATGCTGTGTGTTCACGGACGGCGGGTTATACATAATCAACGTTTTGAACCAACGCTTTTATCTAGCAACATTCGTCCGATTCTATTTGAGTTCTGCGACCTTCAATACATTCAATATAATTATATGGAACTACGCTACATTTTAATACTGGCAAAGACCAGAAAGACAACGCCTGGGTCGTAGGCCACACACGATTATTCTGGATAAGAGAGCGGTGTAAGGGGGGTACGAATACCGCAATACCGCATCACAATTTACCCAAATACCGAAACCGAAGTTACAAATGGGAAAAAGTTGACGTTGCCAATACTACAAATTCTCCTTTCAAATAGAAATAATACTTTTATGGCAGTGTTTCAAAATCAAGGTCCATCGATGTCAAGCGTACAATAAACATATGATCATCATTACTTGTATACGTTTACGTAAATGATACAACAGGAGTTTTCTAGTATTATGCATCAGTCAATTCCAGCTGC